AGATTTCGAGGGGCTGTACAGTATCAACAAGCTTCGGGTGTAGTGGGCCCAGCTTCGGAAGATTGGGGCACATTTGTTTACTGCATGTATCGTATTCTATACGACACACGGAAATGATATAGGATAGTCTACAGAAATAGACACATACATACACATGTTTACACGCACTTCCCGTACTTTCGGGCTTCGAAGAACGACTAAGACTTGAGATGTTTACATGGCCGAGCGATCGCACCAAAACTGAAAATCCAAGCAAGCTGGTGAGTGACTAGCTGCTTCCTGGGGCTAGCCTGCCGGACAACATTGGTCGAATGGTCTCTCAATAAGGACTACGTCTGCTCTGACTACTACACCTACTACAACTACAACAGCTACCGCAAGTGCTACAACTACTCTGACACTACAACCGTCCTAATGTGTATAACGATCGTAGCGGGTAGGTACAACCCTTATGACTAGTAAACACTGTGTTAACTAGTATAGGCAGTAGAGCAAATCTTACGATTATAACAATTGTAACTATGATAATAACGTACCACAACTGTTGTACCTTATATACCATGTATCACTGTCATAACCATTGTAACTCATATACATGTTTTGCATGTTATAACTACGGTAACTCTTATCACGAGCGCCGCTGCAATAGCTGCTCTAACGGATAACAAGAATGATACTGATAAGAATAACCCTAAACCCTAAACCCTAAACCCCAAACCCTAAACCCCAAACCCCAAACCCCAAACCCTAAACCCTAAACCCTACCATGACTACCAGGAAGTTTCCCGTTGGGCCCTGCCACAAGCGCCTCGGCTCTTCTGCGCTGAAAGGAGCGCTTGCAAGGAGCCCACAACGTGGAGCCATTGGCCTCGCACGGGTTTAGGGTTTAGGATTTAGGGTTTAGGGTTTAGGGTTTAGGGTTTAGCGTAAGGGCGTCTAGGGCTTCGCGGGGGAGGCCTAGAAGTCCCAAGAAGCCCTGCAATCCCTGCAAGCCCTAAGGGATGCGAGGGCCTTTACGCTCAAGACACTAACAGGCTTCAGGGCTCAGGGCCTGCGCAAGTGCCATGAGAGTGCTCGATGTTCGAAACACCCAATAGGGTTTAGGGTTTAGGGTTTAGGGTTTAGGGAGTGCCAGGGTTTCAGGGCCGCATGAGGAGATGGCGAAGGGCGCTCCAACCGAATGCAATCTTAGTGGTTGTTGGAGCCGCATCAGGGTTTAGGGTTTAGGGTGTAGGGTTTAGGGTTTAGGGTTTTAGGGTTCTAAACCCTAACCTCCATTTTTGTTCAGCTTCTTCAACCCCCGGGGCCTTTTGCGTTCTCAAGCTGGTTCTGCCCACAGAACAGCCTTGGCTGGAAAGTGTTAAAGGCAGTGCTTACTTTTTCGGGCTCAGTAGAGCTTAGGGTCGTTTTTGGTCAGTTTATGATATTAGGGCCAGGGTCAGGAATAGTGTTCGCGAACTGTGCTTCGGTTATGGGGGGTTTAGGGTTTAGGGTTTAGGGTTTAGGGTTTAGGGTTTAGGGTTTAGGGTTTAGGGTTTAGGTTGCGTCCGTTTTTCGGGGCTTAGGATTTGGGGTTCGGGTTGAGGTTTTAAGTCGCGCGTGTAAGCGATCGAGCCGGGAGGTGCGAAAGTCGATGTCAACCTTGAACCTACTCTTTGCAAGGAAAGAGGGGATTATGTACCGAGGCTCCTCCTACGTGTCGACTTTGAACGGAATTTCTTGATTCGCCGCTAGGGCTGTACATTCTGAGGCTTGTGGTTAAAGAGGTAGGGTGTCTTACAACAGGCCGACCAACAGAAACTGCAACTGCATCCATGCACTTCTTTCAGCGTTCTGTCACAACGCTTCATTTCACTCATTTCGTTCATTCCACCCATGCCATTATTTTCATTCACTTCTTTGATTTCAAGAATTACATTCACATCTTCCATTTCATTCAGGTCATTCACTTCGTTCTTTGCGTGCCATCTTGCGGAAGTTTTCCGGATGATACGGTTGTCGGTTTCCTGTTTCCGGCTAGGGTCTGGAACTCTGGCTAGGACTCGCGCAGTGAGAAGTTGGAGCTGGCGTGGGAGTTGCCTATACTCCCCTTAGAACCTTAAACCCTAAACCCTAAACCCTAAACCCTAAACCCTAAACCCTAAACTCAAAATCTTCTTGGGTTTCGTATAAGCAAAAACAAAAATATAATCCCCCAAAGGGGGAAAAATGGCTCCTGGCGCGAAGCGACCCGCGGGCCACCTGCTGTTGCTCAAACTCGATGCATCAGGGTTTAGGGTTTAGGGTTTAGGGTTTAGGGTTTAGGGTTTAGGGCGATTGCATGCGACTTCGCAGAAGCCACGAAGGCGGAAGTGCTGCTGCTGGAGGTCACTGCCGGTCACGGCCGAAAGTGGGACAAAAAGTCGTAGACTCGTTTAATATGCGGCCGTGCATGGACCGAAACCCTACACCCTGAAAAAACCCCAGACCCCAAGCCCTGACCCCAAACCCGAAACCCTATGAACCCTGAACCCTAAACCCTAAACCCTAAACCCTAAACCTTTCTTTTGAGTTTTGAGATGCGGCGGAAGTGATGGAGGTCCAACGCTTCGGGGGTGCGTCGAAGGATCCCACAGGCTTTCCTCATAAGCCGTTGTAGGGTTTAGGGTTTAGGGTTTAGGGTTTAGGGCTTAGGGTTTGACCCCATGAACTCTGGGAAAAGGTTCCTGAACCCTAAGCCCCCAAAACCCTAAACCCTCTAAAAACCCCCCCGAAGACACATATCCCATGAGCGAGGGAGGTACAGCGCCGCCACGCTGAGCGCGAAGGCCAGGATCCAGAACCTCAGCGACGCTGTTGGGACTTGGAGGGTTTAGGGTTTAGGGTTTGGGTTCGGGGCTTAGGGTTTAGGTTCAGGAAACAAAGGGTTTGGGGTTTAGGGTTTTGGGTGGGTTTGGGGTTTAGGGTTTAAGGTTGTTTGGGTGTTTTTTCAGGGTCCAGGTTGCGGTTGAGAGTTCATAGGGTTCAAGTAGGCCGGGCTGAAGGCATGTAGGGGATTTCGGGGTTCAGGATGTAGGTCCGAGGAGGACCCTCCCCCCTTAACTATCAAGCCCCAGGCCCCAAAAGCCCGAAACCCCAAGCACATCGTTTGTACAGCCCCATATGGGAGTTCTCGAAAATTGGGGCGTTCCTCTCATCAGGATTATGGTACATTTTGGGAAGTGGCCATAGTATGAGAACCCGACTCGAGTAAATTCACCACATTGGCCTTTCAAACGAGGGTTCTTTCAGCCGCCGAACCCCCTAACTCTGAACCCTAAGTAATTAACCCTAACTAAACCCCTGCCCGAATACCCCTAAACAACTAGATCCCCTAAACACTAGACGGCTATAATTAAACCCCATAAACCCAGAAACCCTAAACCCGAAACCCTGCAAACCCCCTGCTGCTGTGCCCGCCAAGGCCACACAGCCGCGAAGGCTAGCCCGCAACGCGCGGGCTTGGGCAGCTGGAAGTGCTCGAGCAGGAGCTCCCTTCTTGCGAGAGATCTTGCAGGATAGAGTTTGTGGGGTTTAGGGTTAGGGTTTGGGGTTTAGGGTTTGGGGTTTAGGGGTTCGGGGTTTGGGGTTTAGGGTTTGGGGTTTGGGGTTTAGGGTGAGATCTTGCAGGATAACCCTAGGGCTCCGAGTATACAAATAATACCTACATTGGGGTCTAAAGTCTGAAAATAAGTTCCTACCTTATAGGGTTATTTGGAGCCTTAGGGTAAGGGGTTTGGGGTTTATAGGGTTTATAGGGTTTATAGGGTTTATAGGGTTTATAGGGTTTATAGGGTTTATGGTTCAGGGGCGTGGTCTTTGGCGTAAGGTCTGGGATCTCAACTCTGAAGGGTCGGAACGCCGAACCCTTCAACCCGAAACCCTCAACCCTAAACCCTCAACCCTAAAGCGAAACCTTAAACCCTAAACCCGAAACCCAAAACCCAAACCCTAAACCCTAAACCCTAAACCCTAAACCCTAAACCCTAAACCCTAAACCCTAAACCCTAAACCCTAAACCCTAAACCCTAAACCCTAAACCCTAAACCCTAAACCCTAAACCCTAAACCCTAAACCCTAAACCCTAAACCCTAAACCCTAAACCCTAAACCCTAAACCCTAACCCTAAACCCTAAACCCTAAACCCTAAACCAACCAGGCCTCGGCCGGGAGGGCATGGCCATCATCCCCTGCGCGGCAAAGGTCCTCCGCAGAGCCTGTTCTGGTTTTAGGGGGCTTTGAAGGGGTTTGAGGGCGTTTTGAGGGGGTTTGAGGGGTTTCAGTGGGTTTTAGGGGTTTAGGGGGGTTTGAGGGGTTTGAGGGGTTTATTTTGGAGGTTTAGGGTTTCACGGGGCTAGGGTTTAAGCATTTGGGGTTCAGGGCTTAGCTGATGGTTCTTTTTGGGGGCACCCGAGGTACTCGCCGGGCCCCAAGGAACGACCACAGAGAGCTGACCGTTCCGGGAAGCGAGTCGAGACACAACGCCGATCCCCACGTTCTCCGTATCCCCACGCAGCCCTGACGAGGAACCAAGGTGGGTTTAGGGTTTAGGGTTTAGGGTTTAGGGTTTAGGGTTTAGGGTTTGGGGTTTAGGGTTTAGGGTTTAGGGTTTAGGGGTTTGGTGGGGGGGGGGGGGGTTCCGCTGTGAAAGGCAATGGTGTGCACTGACCTGCATCTGCAAAGTCGCAAGGGGGAGTTCGATGTTCGATGCTCGTGCTTTCTGCAATGATGCTTTGACGATCTGACGACACATGCGTGGACTATATATTTTGTTGAAATTTGCAAAATGCTGGGAATTGAGCTTTGTCATGCAAATGCCCCCAAAACAGGCTAAAGCCCAAGCGGAGGCCAACTAGAAGACTTACATAAACTCACATCGGCAGAAGACTGCCAGAGTCACGCACACCTTGGCCCTTAAAGGATGGCGTGGAGGGATCATAGTGATAAATTCTGCAATGCATAGATTGCGTGAAACCTTAAATCTACTCTTTGCTGTTCACCTTCTGGTCCTCCACAGTGATGTCAAGCAGCTCGCCTCGGCTTGGATGTACCAGGCCAGGGGGCCGGGCTGGGTATGCCTGCATGGGACTCGGCGCCGGCGGCGAGCCTTGAGTTGTGGGGCTCGTGCGTCTTCTCCACCCTTCAGCTGAAAGGGGAGGAACTGGACTGTGATGAGGGCCACTGGCCTGTGCTGAACCCAGCGGCGTGCTTTGTAGCTCCGAGTGGTTGGGGTGCCTTGGCTGCTGCCTTGTCTCCAACACCTCCAAGAGGTGTAGCTCAAAGGTGGCATAGACATGCTTGGAGATGCACAGAATGCTGAGGGGCATCGAGATGCAAAGACTCCAGATCCCCGAAGCACTGGTGGTGCGCAGTAGAGTGTAGTACTGCAGGAACATCGACAGTGGAGCTTCAATGCTTTTCTCTGAACGAAGTGCCAAAATGAACTTGTCTGTGGGGAAGCCCTTTCTGCGCGAAGCTGCAAATCCGCTCAGAACCTCGACTAGCTGTATCTTCCCACGGTAGCAGTCTAAGGCCAGCGGAGCGACGATGATAGCAACCTGCACGGCTGCTGCGGCGTAGGCCCCTTGTAGGAAGAACTGTAGGAGGCAGTTGTAGTCCGACAAATAGTCCAGCATGAAAAGAACCATCTCCATCCATAGCTGGAATTTCACTTTTGGTGAGGATGGCAGCCTTCTGTGCGCAATCTGGTCTCGGAGCTGCGCTGCCTTAGCATCTATGGCTTCAAGGGTGTTGAGGTCCATCTGCGCATTGCCCAGCATGTCAAAGGCACTTCCGCTCCTGAGCATAGGCCACAGCATGCCGAGCAAGATGCAGGCTATCAGGGCACCCAAGGGCAGGCACTGGAGTGCCGCGACAACTGGCACCACTGCCTGGACTTGAATGGTTTCGTTCTTGCCGTGGGTCAAGGCGCAGCGAGAGAGTTGTGCGAGCATCGTGTTTTCGGAGTGCCAGGTCCGGTTCTCGTAGTATGGGACAGGCTCTGGGGTGTATACTTCCCCCTCCTTTGCATAAACATAGAGCTCCATTGCAACTGTCGGAGCGAAGGCCTGGGTGCTGCATCCTTGCTTTAGCCAGTTTGGCAGTGCAGGCGAAAGGTGGCAGTGCAGGCACTGGCAGCAAGACAGATAGCAATCCTCAGCAGGATCACAACGAAAAGAAATGCGCTTGAACCATCGACCAGACACATTTTCTTCGGGACTGCAACCGGCGCACTGGTCCCAGCATGGGTCACCGACCCTTGCGTAAAGTTGTTTGCGTTTGGCATCTGGCGCTTCTAACATGAGATTGATGTATGCACACCGCATGTTTCCTGTCTTGTCGGCGTAGCGTGTGCAGTTCGGTAAGGGGACTGAATCGGGGCAGAAGTCTTGCAAGAGGCCGATGCTCGCGGGGCTCGCCCAGAAGGAAGCAGAGCAGACCAGCTTCAGGAGACACACAAACGCCACAAACCTCACGCTGGAGACTTGCTCTCGTGCAAGGCCATGTCTCGACTGGTTCTGAGGCCATAGTAGGCAAAGCGGCTCAGTTACCAGGATGCGCGGCCTCGAGTGAAATCGGATTGCAGCAGCCAGCAATAGAGCTGCAAGCGGGATCACTATGAAGACTCCATGGGTGAGGGTCGCCACTTGAACGAAACACAGCATGGAGGTGGTCTCCAGCACCACAAGAAGCCTTGGCTTTCGGACATGGGTGTCATGAAGTGCCTGCTTCCGTCAGCTACTATCTGCTGCAGGTGCTATCTGCTAGCATGGACCATCAACCTGGGTGTAAACCGAAAACCGAAAGATGCCGGAATACAGACGTGGGTTGGTGACAGTACCAAGAAACTGCACGAGCCTCGTACGCAGCTTGTCCTTGCCAGCCTCCTCTTCAGCTGCCCGGAGCCTTGCGTACAAGGAGAACTTCGGCATGGCTGCAGTGCCCTCGGGCACTACACGTTCAGCGGAAAAGAACTGGTGGGCTACAGCTTGCGAATGTGTTTGCTGGGCGAATGCAATTCAAAAAAAGTGTGCTAGCAGAAGCTGCTTCGTCCTTCGTCCGCGTCTTGGACATTCCTGTTGCTCTGTATTACAGGCTGCTGGCTATAAATGGCTGACAGGCTTGAGCACGTCCTGCGAATCCCATGGCGTTTGTGCAGTATCAATGCCAAGTGGCCATTTCGTGCTTCGATAGGTCCAGACCGCACCGTTAACAGGCTTCACACAGGAGCTAGAATCGCCAGCTAAGAATGCAGGATTGGTGTCAAGTGTAGTTGCTTTGCTCTGGCGATGCTTGGCTAGTGTGGCAATACGTTCCCGCATAACCAGAGTAGATGATGTGGCATGACACCTCCTCTGATGACTAGTATGGCCTCGCGCCCGGGCTCAGAACTTGCTCCTGGCACCTTGTAGAACCCGGAACCTGAATGGCACTGGAGGCTGCTTCACCCATAGCACCCCAATCCTCCAATGAAGCTTGGCATCCTGTCCTGCAGCAGCAGCAGCTGCAGCAGGGGCAGGCATCCGCCACCATGGGCAGAATAGGCCCCGGTATCTAAGGCAGCTTTGTGAACATATGCGAGACCATTCTCTTTATGGGACTTCGGGTTTAGGGCTCTTTATGGCTCTTTGCTCACTCTTGAGGTCGTCCAGGTGGCTCAGCGGCCCGGACGGCCGGCTGTTGATTCGAAGGCTCGTGGGGCATGCCCCTTAAGGAGTCTAAGCGGTCTGCAAGCAGGGTGCTGTGGAAAATCTTGGGCTCGGCTGACATCTTGGTGCATGTGTTGGTGGGAAGGGTCCTTGTTTCTGCTGCTTCTGAGGGGTTCATGCTATACAAGGCCCCTTGATATCACAGCTGGGTGCACATGTCCTCACTTGGCAACGCGAAGCCTCATGAAAGAAAGGGTAGGCTCCAAACGACTTCACGACATACACACCATGTCAAGAACGACCTCAAGCCCGGCCCAACAAAAAACTCCCTGATTTAGAGAACGACTCCTAAACCCTAAACCCTAAACCTTAAACCCTAAACTCTAAACCCGAAACCCTAAACCCGAAACCCTAAACCCGAAACCCTAAACCCTAAACCCTAGACCCCTGTGTTTTCTTCGGGCTCCCGGCCCGCGAGCGCTTTCGCGTCGCAGCGCTCTGAGGGATTCCGGCAGAGGCACTGGGCCACCAGGTCGCAGAGGGCCTCAGGAAACTTTCTGGGAGGTTAGGGTTCAGGGTTCAGGGGTTTAGGGCTTAGGGTTCAGGGTTCAGGGTTTAGGAGTAGTTTAGGGTTGATATAGGGTTTTCATTGGGTTGATACAATGAGGTTGATGGCTTAGGGGTTATAGGGATTTAGAGGTGTTTATAAGGTTTGATAGGTTTTATGGGGGTTTCCAGGGTTTATAGGGTTTATTGGGATTTTGGGGTCTTTTGGGCTTACAGGGCCTGCAGGGTTTAAAGACCCACCCCACCCCCCACCGTCCTTCACAAGTAAAGACCGTTGAACTTAAAACCTAAACCCCAAAACCGAAACCCTGACCCTAAACCCTAAACCCTTAAACTGCTAAACCCTAAACCGATAAGAAAATACAGCTAGGTTGTCCAGAAACCTCAAACAGGTGCCTTTTTTGGCTTAAAGGAGCTTTCTAAGGGAACCTGAACCCCCCAAAAAGGGAACAAGTGCACTACTGGGCATCCTAGACAGTTGAACGCGGAACGCCACTTCAGGGCCCGTACCCTGGGATGCGCGGTGGGGTCCTCGGTATAAGCAAAGAGGTGGATTCGGAAATGCTGTAAGGGTCCTCGAGGGAGTGGGGTTTAGGGTTAAACGGTTGAGGCTTTGGGGCTGAGGGCTTAGGCTAGGATTGGTTCTTGCTGATGCGTAAGGAGGACGGAGGAGTGGATTCCCATAAATGCCCACCCTCGCAAATCAAAGTAAGAACACGTGGACCTGGAACTTTTAGTATTCTGCACCCTCCAACCACCCCTAAAGCCCTAAAGCCATAACGACCTAAAGCCCTAAAGGCCCTAAAGCCCTAAAGGCCCACGCCCGAAAGCGCTAAAACCGAAAGCCCTAAAGCCTAAACCCTAAACGCCCGAAATCGAAAGTGCAGACTCAGCTTGTGGAGGGAGGGGAGGGGGCTCCCTCGGGTGCTTGGGTTTAGGGGTTTGGGGTTGGTGATTTCGGGTTTGGGGGGCTACGTAGGGGTTTGGGGCTTAGGGTTTAGAGCCTGCAGCGGAGGTTAATTTAGGGACCTCGCTCGAATGGGTATTTTGGGGGAGCTTGCATTACAACTAGATAGAGATGATAAATCGGATGATGTTGGTGCCAATGTATGGCGGCTACAAACATACAGGTGCCATAGTGCACCCAAGGCTCTTTGGTTCAATGTGGGTGGAAGACTCGATGACGCCCGGAAAGCAACATGGAATTGACATTTCAATGGGTTTGATTGCGCTGACTTAAAGTTAAGATATGCATGAGACACGTAAGACACGGTGGCATCTGTGGTCGTGCTCCGGCGGGACTGTGGGGTCCAGGGTTTTAGGGCTTTTAGGGTTTAAGTGCTTGAGGGTTTTAGGCTAGTTTAGGCAGTGTAGGTTTTTAGGGTATAAGGCTTAGGGTTATACCGCTTAGGGTTTTAAGGTTTTAATGTTTAGGGTTGGTGTCGGGGGGGCTCAGGGTTTTATGGATTAGGGTATTTGGTTTCAGGGGGTTACGGCTTCAGGTCCAGGGGGAGGTGGGGGAGGGGGCAGACTGTTCGGGGGGCGGGGGAAGGGGGGAAACGCAGAGCGCGTTGCTTTGCGACGCTGAGCTCGCAAACCCTAAACCCTAAGCCTTAAGCCTTAAACCTTAAACCTTAAACCCTCAACCCTAAATCCTAAACCCGAAGCCGTTGCTCTGCTTGGGCTCCGCGCGAGGCGCGGCTCGGTCTCCTCACAAAGCGCCTGCCACAGCGCCTGGCGTGTCGGGCGCTCCACGAAGTTTGGTCTAGGGCTTAGGGCTTAGGGCTTAGGGCTTAGGGCTTAGGGCTTAGGGCTTAGGGCTTAGGGCTTAGGGCTTAGGGCTTAGGGCTTAGGGCTCAGGGCTTAGGGCTTAGGGCTTAGGGCTTAGGGCATAGGGCTTAGGGCTTAGGGCTTAGGGCTTAGGGCTTATTTTAGGGTTTAGGGTTTAGAGCTTAGGTGCAGATGGAGTCATGATGCTTGTCTGGCCCTGACTCCGTTCTCTCCAACTCGCGCTTCATTCTCCTTCTTGCCAGCGAGCTGGGGCGCCCAAGGCTCTTTCGGAGCTCTATCACTTCACTTATAGGGTTCTTGAGGGACGGGGGGTTCAAGGTACCTACTCCCCTTGATTCCCCTCCCTGATAAGAACCCTCTATAAGAACCCTATAGTAGAACCCTAGTAAGAGACACCCGTCTCGGCAAAGTGTTGCCGCACACGGGCAGAGAGATCCTTCTTCCCCGAGCCACCCTCGATATCCCACGCTGTTAGGGTTTTGGGTTTAGGGTTTAGGGTTTAGGGTTTAAGGTTGGGGCTTTGAAGATTGGGGCTTCTTCATATCAGGACTTGAAGCATATCATGGTTTAAGGTTCGGGGTTGAGGGTTGAGCGGTGAGGCTGGGTGCCGGCTTCATGGGGGGCCTTTTTAGGAAATCGCGGGGAACTAAAGCTTCGCGCAGCTGGAGGCCACCCAAGCCCTCCATAAATGGTGGGACCTAGAAGTTCAGTACTCTATACTGCTACAATCCGCACCTACAGGTACAAGTGGGCCGGATTCAACGATCTGGTCACGCCTGCGCAAAAACCGCTTCACTCGGTCGGGCTTAAGGGTAAGGAGGAAATTGTTAGGGATTGGAGGTCTTGAGAGCCCTCGCCCTAAGCCCTTAAAAGGCCTGTCAACCCTCAGCCCCAAACCCGTAGAGTACTTAAAGGGTTTATACAGTTGAGGGCTTCAGGGACCTCAAAAGCCCAAGCCCGAAGCGTTGGGAACTTCCTAGGGTTCCCGCTGGAAGGCTGCGGCAGTCGGCTAAAGGATGCCGCCCCTCGGCCAGTTCCCAGAGGACCTAAAGGCAGAGGGGCTTAGGGTTTGGGGTATAGGGTTTAAGGTTTAGGGTTTAGGGTCTAGGGCGCCAGGTGTCTAGGGTTGTTTGTTTCGGGTGTTGAGGGTTCAAGCTCATATGAAAACGCCCTTTCTAGCCCCAAAACCTATAAATTCTGAATCCTAATTAAGAAGCCCTATACCCTAAACACTAAACCCCAAACACCTGGGCAACCCCACAAGCCCTGAAAGGGCTGTTAAATCCTACACAAGCCGAAACCCTAAACCCTAGCCCTAAACCCTAAACCCTTCCAGGCTTGCGGTGATGCGCGAAGCTACCACAATTGCCGGAAATCGGAGAAGCTGAGATCGGGTTGCAGCGCCTGAATTGTGCTGAGCGGGACAGGAGCAGCCTGTCACAGTCTCAGTTTCAGGGGGGTCCTTGGGATGTTTCCACTCCTTAATAGGGATTATAGTACCCCCCCCCCCCCCCATGTTCATCCCTATTGAGGACTGTTAGCATAAGGGGAGCATCCCAAGGGGTTCCCAATAACTCGCCCCAAGAAGCCCCCCAAAATAGCAATCATCACCCTTGGCTTTGTTCCCAAACCCTAGACCCTAAACACCCAAAAACCCTAAAACCTAACAACCCCAAAAAGTCTAAACATCCTAAAAACCCTGAAAGCACCAAAAAAACATCCAAAATCCCTGAACACCCTAAAGACCCCAAAACTCGAATAACCCTAGAAGCCCTCAACACCTAGAAGTTGGGATGTTCTCCCTTGTACCAATAGTCCTTCATAGGTTTTTTTTAGGGGGTACGAAAATCCGATTACGGGCTGTTAGTCTAAGGGGGAAACATCCCAATACAGGGACTATACAAGGTATGCATTGTGGTCATTAC